GCTATCATGTGGGTGCTGGGAATCGGACCTGGGTCCTCTGCAGGAGCAGCCAGTGCTCTTAACTGCTGAGCCATCTCTCTAGGCTGGGAAAAGAAGCTTAAGGGAGGAAGACTTGACTTCAGGTTACAGGTTGAGGGGATACGGTCCATCATGGCAGAGGAGGCAGGGTGGGAGGAACCTGAGGCAGCTGGTCAGGTTGCACCTGCAGTCAGGAAGCAGAGAGGGACGGCTGCTGCTTCTCTCCTAACTTTCTCCTAACTTTTTTTCAGTCTGGGTTCCAACCCATGAAATGGTGCCACCCATATTTAGGATGGGCTTTCCTACCCCAGTTAACCTGATCTAGGAAGTCCATCACAGACATGCCCAGATGTTTCTCCCCAAGGTGATTCTAGATCCTGTTATGTAGTAGTTCCCGCCAACATAATTCATGCCACCTTGGAGGGAAGCTGCTTATGAGAAAAGATGTCCTGAGGGAGGTGTAACATTCCATTCTGCAGGGAAGCTTGTTAAACTCAGGAAGCAAACAACTCAGTAGCTTTAGAAAGTCCCTGAAACTGACCAGATTCACTAGGCCCCTCCCTTCCCAAACCTATATGAGCAATAAAGACGACCCAGAGACGCTCAGACCATCAGCTGAGCTGCCTGCAGGCTGTGTGGGGCTCCGTTCCTGATTTTGTGTGCTGTCACCCATGCTGGCCGGCTTTGGTGATACAGATGTCTGAGTCATTTCTGCTATTACAAATAACCCCTCACTCATACGCCTGTAGGTAACCCCAATGAAACTCTGGTTCACCAAGTTGGTCTTTGGCATTAACCCAAGACTGACCTGGCCCATTGACAAGACAAATGTACCCAGCGTGTGGTGGATTCACACGGGGCTAACCTACTCCAGAGAAACAGAGGCCCCAGCCAGCAACACACAGAAGTATCAATAAGATTTTTCACTTCATCCCTTGGAAGTGATCGTATTGGTGGATTCGACACTTCCAGCTGGGGGAGGAAAGGGTTTGTTTCGCCTTAGTTTACAGTTCGTCGTGGAGGGAAACCAAGGCAGGAACTCGGAGTAGGAACTAAAGCACAGGCCATGGAGGAACGCTGATTACTGGCTTGTTCCTCTGGGCCCTGCTCAGCCTGCTTTCTTTTTCTTTTTTATTATTTTTATGTGTATGCATGTATTGACTGCATGTAGGTAAGTACACCATGTCATGCAATACCTGTGGAGGTCAGAAGAGGCTGTCAGATCCCCTGGGCCTAGAGTTACAGACAGTTGTTAGCTACTATGTGGGTGCTGGGATTCGAACCCGGGTCTTCTGCAAGAACAGTGTTTCTTAACCGCTGAGCCATCTCTCCAGCTCTCAGCCTGCTTTCTTATGCAACACAGGCACACCTGCCCAGGGGTGGCCCCATCCACATGGCTGGACCCTCCCACATCACTCAATAATCAAGAAAATGCCCCACAGACATGGCCACAGGTCAATCCAATGGAGACAGTGCCTCCATTGAAGTTCCCTCTACCCAGGTGTGTCAGTTCAACAGCGGAAGCTGTCCAGTACAAGGGGTATGAACAGACTCTGGATCTCTTTAGTGATGGAGCTTTCTTTTTTTAAAAAAATTATTTATTATTATTATTATATATTTCATTTCATTTATTATTTTCATTTTATGTGTATGAGTGTATTGCCTGCATGTATCTAAGTGCACCCGTGTTGTGCAATGCCTGTGCAAGT